CTAAGACCCAATAGCAGTATCTTCGTAATAACAACTGAAAATAATAAAAACCATCGTTGCCAACCCACCTGCCAAGAAGGCTGAACTATGGCTTACGAGGTGATCTATGGGGGAGCCCACATATATAGATCACCTCGTAAGCCTATGATCAGCAAAGTACTTTTTGATTAGCTGTAATCGGTCTAATTAAAAGGCGGTCTTTGTAAACGGTTCGTCGTCACAACGCCCACCCTTATACAATACCAACTCTATTGTTTGTCACTTGTCAGTTAAGGGTGATTGATGTTGTAGAAACAACGATGATGACATCGATATTGACATCGATAGCTCAACATCGATGTTCAATGTTTATCCTACTCAAAACATCGATGTTGGCAATTATCGATGTTTTTTTGCTATTTAATTGGTTAGAATTAGATGAATAAAAAGAACTGTCATATTGCTTATGGTTAATAATTAATGAAATAAAAGAAATTAATATAAAAAGTAGTGTAAAGCACTAATTAAAAAATATTGAAAGAAGTTAACAAATATTTAGTTCATTTGATATATTATCCAACATTTATGCCGATTAATTGAAGAAATATTAATTTTGACAAATAAGTCAAAATTATCTGTTTCTCTGTTGATAAAGAGTTGAGCCAGCTATTGAAAATAATTTAAAAATAAAATTTTTGTACAACTGACTTCAATATGAATTTTTAAGAATAACTCAAAAACTATTGTTCAGACTTATATGGATCAAATTTATATGGGACCATATGTGAAGCACCAGATTTCAAATAAAAAAAAGAATCACCGAAATCAGTTCACCCAGAAAAAAGTTATGAGGTAACATACATTAAAAAAAGAACATACAGTGGAATCGAGTACATCCTCCTTTTTGAAGTCTGTAGATAACCGCTCAAATGGTGTTGATGTAGCGATTGTGGTCAAATATCTCACCACAAGTTTTTTTTAATTTTAGATAGGTAGAACCACTAACATTTTTCTATACGTGCATTAGATGGTGTTTAAGATCAACCATCGGATTTTTTTTAAATACAACCGATAAAGAAACAGGCAACCAACAACGACACCAATAACAAACGAAATCAGTGACAACTGCGACATTTCAGTTGACAATTGACAGTTAAGGTGGCACAAGTCGCGGGCTCGAACTCGCTGGTGGGCGCGGCCAAAAAGCACGCTGTCTCACCTGGCATCGTGCCCGACAGAGATAGTATCAGTGATGAGCATATCGACACTAGTATTCACGCACGTCTTGTTCGTACGGCATTCAGAACCGTTTGAACAAAAACGAAGTTACACGAACACGATGCAACATTTATACTAATATAATAAAGCAGAAAATATAGATCTTTACTCCGTCTAAAAAAAAGTCCGCGATACCATATGTCTATTTTTTATATACTCGTATAAGCCACAATTAGGCATTTTTATTTTGACAAAAAAAAATGAAAATTTAATTATTAGGCATGGCATATTTATCCTTACGAACGAAAGTTACTTCATTATCAAGACAATTTTTTGAAGATAAACTTCGTTGTTTATGCCATGTTTATATAGTACATAGTTGAGATAATGTAAAATTAAAATAATTCAATACTTGGCCTTGACGCGCAAACAACGCATAACCCCTAGCCCGGTGCGAACTGAGAAGCCAGTATTGAAAGCTTCTATGAGCGAGGTTAGGTTAGCCGTTAGTTCAATCATTATCTATATCTACACAAATAAATAAAATTGAAGTGTCTGTTATAATGTCAAAATAACAGCTTTTTACTAATTGCATATGAAATTATATACGCTACTTATAACACAATTTTTAACATTTTTCTGTCTGTCTGTCTGTTTGTTCCGGTTAATTTCCAAAACGGCTGGACCGATTTTGACGGGACTTTCACTAGTAGATAGCTCATGTTATAAGTAGTAACTTAGAATGCTTAAATTTTAGAAAAATTATTAGGCGTCCGTGCAACAAAATTAACACCCTAAACTAAATGCGGACGAAGTCGCGGGGAACAGCTGGTAGCTAAAATAAATTCAAAATTAATTGAGTGCTTTTATCTATCTCCCAGGTGAGCGTAACAATGATTAGTTAATTCTGAACTCTTTCATTTCACGTTGCTATGGTATTTTGAAAGTTTAATTGATTAATAAGTTTTTATTTTATTTATTTCTTTAAAAAAAAAGACGTTACCCCCACACTAGGATTTTCTCGTGTATCGTGGAGGCAGTTTACAAACACAAATTGCACAAGGACAAACATCCAGACCCGGAACAATTATTTGTAGGCCATACAAATACAAATACTTGATCCGTGCGGGATTCGAACCCGCGGCCCCCTGCTCAGCAACTCATTGCTAAGACACTGCGCCACGGAGCCGTATAAGAGTATAAGAGGTTGATAGCAAATGTATCAAGAATCATTTCTTGCCTACACACTTTTCATGTATCGTGTACGTTTTTCTTTAAAACTGAATAAAACCGCGCATAGTATGCCGACAGATAAAATAAAAGTACTTCATTAATTATCACAATTTTTCCATACATTATTATCAAATAAAATATTTGATTGCAATTATAAAACTAGGTGTCATGTCATGCCATGCATCTCGGACACATGATGACGCGGGTGAAACCGCGAAATGATTAGGCGCTGCTTTATCGCTTCATATTATACCTCTGTGGCTCTATATACCTAATATAGATTGCTTATTTTATTATGTTTAGTTTTTCCGAGTGGTTATGCAGCGATCACTCAAGAGTTCGGCTTCGAACGTGTGTAACTGCAAAAATTATCCCACGGGAACGAAATATTTTATATTACTGGGAGCCGCGGGTTCGAATCCCGCACGGAACAAGTATTTGTATGGCCTACAAATAATTCTTCCGGGTCTGGATGTTTGTCCTTGTGCAATTTATGTTTGTAAACTGCCTCCACGATACAGGAGAAACTCCTAGTGTGGGTGTAACGTTTTTTAAATAAGAAAAAAAAAATTTGTATGGCCTACAAATAGTTGTTCCGGGTCTGGATGTTTGTAAACTGCTTCCACTATACAGGAGAAAATGCTAGTGCGGGGGTAATGTATTTTTAAAAAATAAAAAATAATAAAATTCCAGACTATAACCTATCTCTGAGCAAAATATCATCCAGGTCCCTTCAGCGGTTCTGGCGTGATTGAATAACATACATCCTTTCATTCGTCCATCCAAATATCCAAACTTTCGCATTTATAATATTTAGATAATAATTGTAATTAGTTCTGCTTACCTATAAATTTTTTTCAAAAATACTTACCTGTCTTCTTACTTTTTTTTATATATACTCAATATCACTAAACGTAAACACAGGTTTTTATCAAGACAAGTGACCCATCAAGATTGTTTTCTTAGTACTGACGTACCTACCTAAAGTTTACAATTTTGTGGCCACGACGCGGTGACGTTTTGTGACATTTTGTTGTATTGTAGGTTGTAGGTATCTAGGTAATAACAGTAGGTACCTATGAAAATCCCACATAATATACCTTGTTTGTCCGCCGCAAGAGTCGTCTAATAAATAATTAAACTGTTTTGTAATTCTTTATTTATTTATAACACTTGCATTGAGAGCCGTGGTAGCTCAGATGGTTATCGTTCGCCGTAAGTATCACACTACGCGAGCAACCCGGGTTCGATCCCCGTCGGCACCAAAGAAATTGTTGCAATTTTATATAGTAATCGTATATTATAGACTTAATTTTTTTTCTTTTATAATTATATTATATTACAGACGAAAATTGAAATAAAAAACAAAATTGTCTGTCGTCCAAAACGCATCATCTCTTTCAATTATATCAATTTCCATGCTGTCTTTTGTCTTTGGCGTCCAAATTACAAAATAGCAAAACTTTTCGTTTCGAATAAAACTCGAATAAGCCCGCGTCACCGCCCGTGCATGTGTGTGTAAGCGTCGTCCTCCCGCACCGCACCGGGGCAAACATTATTCAGTGAGATGCACGATAATTCATAGTAACATACGCGCGTAAAAAAATACGAAAAGGCCTTTGGAAGAAGGGGTTTTATGAAAAAAACCACTGCATAAATTAATTACGAATAAAATTTCTTGAATTCTTCGATAATTGAGCTGTGTCGGTACCGACTTTGTTTTGGAAATTTCACACTTCTTTTATTACTAATTTACGCCCAAAGTTGTGTTAAAATTGGCAATAAAAACGAATCTTTGGTAGCTCGTAACTTTTTAATAACATTTTATTTTACTATTCTGTTTCCGTACAGACAAATTTGATAATGAGACAAAACGATATCATGTTTAACTTTGGATGTACACTGTCAAACAGCGTAGTAAAACCCCTCCGAAATTTGTATGGAAATCAATGGAAATATTGTCGACTAGTGTCACCTTAAATTTGATACCCCATAATGATATATTTTTAGGTTATCGATGCGTTCAAGCATTCTGAATTATTTAAAATTTTAAATATTTTAGAGGAGATGTAAGATTTAGTTCATATTGATATCGCGGGTTCGCAGTGTTCGCAAGTACCCAATAATCGATTATGGGTTTATTGACATCGATGTTTCGATGTTTGACATGTGGCAACATCGATGTTAAAACATCGATGTATTCAGTTTTGATATCGATAGTCATCGACCATCCCTATTGTCAGTGTCACTGTCAGTGTATCAGTGTCTTTTGACATGTAAACATAATTATTTAATACTTAATTTATAGAAAAATGAAATATATCGGTGTTACAAATCAACTAAAAAAGTGCACTAAAGTGATTAATATCAAACGTGACCATTCAACTGCCACAAATAAAAATTTGCAAAGTGTTGTGGGACTTGAAGTGCATGCTCAGTTAAATACGAAATCAAAGTTATTTTCTGGCGCTCAGAATACATTTGGTGGTTTGGTTAATAATTGTGTGTCATTATTTGATGCTGCTATACCCGGTACATTACCAGTATTAAATAGAAAATGCGTTGAGCTTGGTATATTGACAGCTTTAGCGCTTTCATGTAAAGTGAATGAAGTGTCAAGTTTTGATAGAAAACATTACTTTTATGCTGATTTACCAGCTGGTTATCAAATAACACAACAAAGAGCTCCATTAGCTATCGATGGCGTAATAAATTTTCAGGTATAAATCTTAATTGTATCATCATTTTTTCTTATATGTAAATTTAATAATTAAAGTAGGTATTATAAAGTCATTATATTTAAGCACATGAATATTAATTTTTATAACATTTTTTTGTATAGTTGATGAACAATTTTTATTAATTTATGTAAATTTTTTTAAATTTTAATGACACAACTTTGCAAACCATCTGATGGTAAGGGGTGGTCACTGTGATAATGGATCCATCTATACATTACAGCTTATGAAACTCCATGCACTACTGAACATAGGCCTTCTTCATAGACTGCCCCATAGAGGGATTTTGAATAGTTGATAATTGTAGTTGACTCCAAACATGTGGGTATAGTGCTTATAATGACTAATGTAAAGTTATAGACTAGTTATGTCTAAGTTAGGCTACCTATCATTTTTAAAAGGGTCTTTTTAATGATGACTTTTAAAATGGAATGTAGGACACTGTTATGGTACTAATTATTTTTATTAACTCTTTAATTTTTATTTATAGGATAAGGATTACAAATGAGTAAACAATCCACCAGATGGTAAGTAGTTGCTGTGGCCCATGGATATCTGCATTTATCCTCGACTATGAATCAAAATGGAAATGCGTTAGTAGACTAAGATGAAATGCCTGGTTTCCAGTAAAAGTGGTCTCTGGTTCTCTACACTCACCATACACAATACAGAATAACACTAATATTATTACTGCTATTTTACGCTGGTATTCTGTGAGAGCATGGTCCTTCCCTGGTCGAGCTGACCCATTTGTAGCACAACTATACTACTAATATAGCTACAGCATGGCTTTACCACATATAAACTTATTTCACAGTGATTATTTATATTAACATAGATGGACACCTGTTCAGAAGAGGAGCCAGTTGATAAAGTAGTAATAGTATGTGAATAATTTTTTGAAAATATTTATTTACAGGTATTTACACCAGGTGTCCACAAAAAGCCATACAATAAGAGTTCAAAAATTAAGCAAATTCAGCTAGAGCAGGACAGTGGTAAATCACTGCATGACAGTGATTTAAAGAGGAGTCTTGTTGATCTTAATAGAGCAGGAGCACCGCTAATTGAGCTCGTGTTTGAACCTGATTTAGAGGTAATTTTATAAAATACTAGCTGTACACGGCCACCCATTGCTGTCGCTCGTACAGTTTATATAAACATGTGCATATTCAAATGCAACAATGTGTCAATATTTTAAAGCAATTGGTTACAGTCTTACTAAGTTTTAAGATTTTGAACAAACAAAAATTAAGATTTTTATTTATATAGATTAACTTTTTATATGGTAGGTGTGTATTTGTGATGTAAGAATATCAACTATCCCATTTCATCCTGTGGGTGTCGTAAGATTTTTTTTTCGTGGGATAAGGTTGACAAACGAGCACACAGTCCACCTGATGGTAAGTGGTTGCTGTGGCCCATAGACATCTAAATCTATCCTCGTTTCCAAATCAAAATGCAGATGCGTTGTCACCCGTGAGGACTAAGATAGAATGCCTCATTTCCAGTAAAAAGGGCCTCCGGCAACCTGCACTCACCAAGCGAAACGCAGAGGTAAACCTCTACTTCACGCTGGTATTCTGTGAGGTCGTGGTACCACCCCGGTTCGAGCCGGCCCATCCGTGCGACAGCAATTCTGCCGCGTGGCTCTACCACTGTTAAAAAGATTATATTATAATCTTTTTAACAGTGGTAGAGTACCACTGGTAAAAAGATTTTATTAATATAACCATTTTGTTGGTTAGATTTTTGATAATTTTAATGAATATTTATCTGTTGTATTAGTATTAAGACAACCTGATGAGACATGTTAGGAGACAATGGATGCGGGTGGATCAGGTCTGTTCTTTGTATTTTTTAGGGGAATTCAATCAGTAGTGAACTTATGATGGTCTGATGAATTACAAGAATATTTAATAAGCTTGATTATTTAATACTTTCTCATACTATTTAAGATTATATTCTTGTACTATATTTTTGTGTGTGAAATGAAAATATTTTGAAACACCAGTGCTGGCATTCAATAAAAAAACTACATAGTAATATATAATTTTTTTATCACTGATATTTTATTTGTACATTATTAAACCCACCCACGTATTAGGCTTGCTTCTAAGATATATTATTTTATATTAAAATTCTATGAATTAATATTAGGTGACATGCTCTATGCAATCTTTTTTAATTATAAAATTAATATAATACTATATTAAATATAATGTTTTGTTACTGCATGGACCTAATGATCAAAGTAATGGTTCCATAATGAATTTCAGCTGGCTACGGGGAAAGTATTGTAAAAACAGTATGTAATTATTTTCTGCCGACTTCAAAAAGGAGACGGTACTCAATTCGACTGTATGTTTTTTTTAATGTGTGTTACCTCATAACTTTTTACTGGGTTAACCGATTTCGATGTCCTTTTTTTATTTGAAAGCTAGTACTGCACATGTAGTCCCATATGAATTTGATCAAGGTCAGACCAATAGTTTTTGAGTTATTCATAACAATTTATATTGAAGTCGGCTGTACAAAATTTTTAATTTTGGAATATTTCATGGGTTAAATTGTGTTAACAGGTTTATATGGGAAACATACCAATAATAATTTATTGCTATATGTCTTTTCAGCATCCTATCTACCCTCCAATCTTATTGCATGAGCATTAAATCAGACCAAAATAGACTAGTATGCGTATATGCCTTTGTGTAAAGGCAGAAGTTTGTAGTACTATAATTTCTCCTGTATAAATACACAAAGAATACACAGCTACTTACAGCATGCAGTTGTTGTCATAGTGGGCCAGATGAACCTTATTTAAAGTATAAATTGTAATTTAAACCTCTTGTTTATAATTTTCAGGATGGTGAGGAGGCGGCAGCATTGGTTAAGGAACTTGTGTTAATTGTGCAGAGGCTAGGCGCCTGCACGGGCCGTATGGAAGAGGGCGCTCTTAGAGTTGATGCCAATGTCTCTCTAAGGCGTTATGGAGAACCTCTTTCTACAAGAACTGAAGTAAGTGATAATTGTCTAAACAGATTTGAAATAGTAACAAAAAATGTGAATAACCAATTCTCCTGCAAAGTTTGATATTCTTAAGTCCTAGAGTGGTCCATGTTTAGCAGTGACATAGAGTGGAGTGGTAGGGAGTAAATTTTATTTTAATTTCTTTTATCTTTAAGCATTGTTATGGTTATGTTAATTTGTCTATACTTTATTTTGAAAAATAAAACGTCGACGAATCAAAGAACTAAAGAGTTTCATAATGTAAATAAATAATTATTTATTATTATAATTATTAATTAATTATTTATTATGTGTTTGTTATATTGGGTTTGTTAATGCATAACCGGATATATTGCCTCAATGTTAAAGTAAACATCATCAATAACATTGATGTCCATTAATGATAGATTTTATCTACTTTTTGTTTTTTACATTAAATTTAATATTTAACACATTGCAAAGATTTACATAATAACAGTTTTATTATTTTTACAGATTAAAAACATTGGTTCAATTCGCGGTGTAGCAGCTGCTATTCGCCATGAAATCGAGCGACAACGATCCTTGTTAGAATATGGTGGCAAAATTATAAATGAAACTCGATCTTGGGATGCTGTTAACAAAGTAACCGTGGCTATGCGTGACAAAGAAGTTGTTCAGGATTATAGGTTTGTAATGTTTGCATGATTGTATTAGCTATACTTTCAAATGAACTCACTTAGGTAATATGTTATTGTATTGTGTCATTAATATAAATATATATTTTTTGCAAAACTATTATTAATATGTGGGTTCATAATAAAATGATAATCTGTATAATGTGATAGTAGGATTTTCACTAATGAAGAATTTATAAATAAATGGTTACTGAATATTGACTTCCATAAAGTTGTTAAATATTATTGCAATATTGCCAACAAGCAATGTTTCAAACAACTCGGTAAAAGATGAACATAAGAAAATATGTCTTATAAATTAGTTTGACATGAGCTATTTATTAATTTATTATTTTATAATATATATCTTATATCCTGCTTTGATTTTAATACTTTATAACATTTTTTCTTACTTAAACTTTTTTTCTTTGCAAGACATTCCTTTTATAGTGTGGGGGCAGAAGTCGTTTGTTTATAAATAATGATATTTAATAATATTTTACTGTCTCATTTGAAGTTTCCACTACTAAAAAGAAATCTCGAACAAAAAAAAAAATTAAATTAATAGAAGTCTGGTGAGTACTGAGGCGAAAGGGGTTTCTATTCAAAGCTTCTGTTATTTTGTCATAGTTCGTAGTTCAGTGTGTAGACAACATTGTTGTGAAAAAGTTAGTGAATTAGAATAGTTATATTATGCTATTCGTAGCATGTAAATTTATTTAATTTTGACTTGCTTGTGTAAAACGTAATATTGATAGTGTCAAAGATATTTAAGTTGCATATAATGTAATAATTTAAATAAAAAAAAATATAATAAAATTGTTTTAGGTATATGCCCGAGCCTAATCTTCCACCACTACGCGTTAATTTACGCACGAGGGAAGAGACACAAGACGTTCTTAGCGTTCCTCTAATAAAAGATCGCATACCAGAGCTCCCCGAAGATTCTAGAAGGAAACTCATTGAACAATTTTCTTTACGACCAGAAGTTGCTATTCAACTTGTGAACGAACCTGTTCTATTACATTACTTCCTCGAATTAACAAATCAAAACACTAGAAACCCTACTAAAGTAGCTAATCTTTTACTTAATGATCTCTTAACTGTACTTAACAAAAGAAAGGTTGATGTTGAAGATTGTGTCATAACAATTAGACAAATAAGAGAACTAACTGACATGCTCCTAAACAAACAAATTAATTTGGAGATATGTCGGAAAGTCCTAGACGAACTTCTCGATAGTGCCAACGACACATCACCTTTAGATATTATTACAAAGAAAGGGTGGTCTATAGTAACAGATGAAGAAGAAATAATTAAGCATTGCACAGAAGTCATAGAGAATAATCCAAAGCTAGTAAAACAATATAAAGAAGGAAAAGTAAAAGTATTTAAAGCATTGCTAGGGATTTTAGCTAAAAATACGTCAAACAAAGTTGATATGTCGATTGCGGCTGCAAAAATGGAGGAAATGTTAAAAAAATAATAAAAGTGTTATAAAAATTACAAATAGTATTTTATTTTAAATCTAAATTTTTCTTATATGTACTGCTAGGAGTCCTTTTAGATTGGCACTGCCCTCTTACGTATTTCTTTCGCAAAGTAGTACCCATTGCTGTGGTCCGCTTTGAATGTTAATAGAGCCAGTAGTTAACGGGCTGGAAGGCCTTTAGTATTCAAGGGTGTAAACGCATAATAAGTGACTTGCTTTTTTGAAGTAGGGTGCAGGTATCGACAAGTTGCACTTACCATAGATACCATACTATTTTTTTTTTTATAGGATAAGGGTGACAAACGAGCACACAGTCCACCTGATGGTAAGCGGTCGCTGCGGCCCATAGACATCTACATCTATCCTCTGTTACAAATCAAAATGTAGATGCGTTGTCACCCGTGAGGACTAAGATGGAATGCCTCATTTCCAGTAAAAAGGGCCTCCGGCCACCTGCACTCACCAAGCGAAACGCAGAGGTAACCCTCTACTTCACGCTGGTTTCCTGTGAGGTCGTGGTACTACCCCGGTTCGAGCCGGCCCATCCGTGCGACAGCAAAAGCTGCCGCGTGGCTCTACCACTGTAAAATACTAAAAACCATAGTAAAAATTATAGGCTTTATATGTACCACTGCTGGGCACAGGCCTCCTCTCATTCCTGAGAGGCTTTCGGAGCAATAAGTCCGCCGCGACAATGCATTTTGGCGGACTCAGATGAAACAGAAAAATTTTGTTGGCTTCATGGCCAAATACTCAAACGCTATTCAATTTTATGATGCCGTTAATTCTCGTTCTGTCTTTGTCGTTTTAAGTCAAAGTGACTGTGACAGCACGAGACTTAATGACGTCTTAAAGTTGAGTAGCCTTTGAGTATTTGGCCATTAAAGTACCTACTCCCCTTTATACCACTCAACATCTAGTTTTTAGTTTTTTGGCGATTTTGTTCGGCCAATAGTTAGTTGTACGTGGTGTATCCTGCTCACAAACGAACGAAGCTCTGGTGACCAATGGACGTCGTAAAACTATAAAAAAACCTTAACACGTCAACTGGCGGGGGAACTCTAACAGCTCAGTGGGAGTTTTGGCGGGAACTTGACCGGCGGCGGTTTGCTGCTCCTGTATTATTGTTTAAATAATGGTTTAAATTGGACTTTGATATGTAAAAGTGGTGCGATTGTGTGTATTAAATGTCTGCGCCTGTGAACTATTTGTGTAAACTGTGAAACAAGTGCTCTGATGGTGATGTGAATCTCAAAATCAGATACTGACGGCAACTTGAGTCTGCTGACTCAAGTTGCCGTCAAAATCTCCCAAGGGCTGCACAATGTGACGCATCAACATATTGTGAAGCAGTGTACTATGAATGACAATTATAATGTATTGTAACTTCAGGCTCAGAAGGGCTAAATCCCAGAGCCGTAAAGCCAGTTATTAAAAAAATAACAGCTCAGTAAGACAGTAGAGTTCCCAAAAGGAACAAGTATTTTGTATGGTCTCTAAATAATTGTTTCAAGAGTATAGGCGTTTATCCATTCCGTAATTTGTGTGTATGACGCAAGGGAAATAGGTGTCCTTGCTAAGGTGTGGAATTACTTCACGCCGAGGCAGTTTTTTAACATTTACAAAGAGCAAGTCCGATCGTGCACGAAGTATTGCAATCAAATATGAACTGGTACTGCAAAATAAAATACCACCTAGCAGCGCTGGATTCAGTAGAAGAGCGTGCTAAAAGGCTTATGGGTGGTGACCTCGATTAGGCTGAAATCTATTTTGTCAGTTTCGAGCACAGCTGCAGAGCAGCCAGCCGCGTTATTGTATGGAATATATTTCGGAAAGTTTGTGCAGGAATAACATGAAATGAATTCCTTCCTTCCTCGCCACTTGACGATATTTTATGTATTCGAATAAAAACAAATGAGTGGAATAATTTGCAGACATCTGTCTTTCCGTTCAATTATACTCTGGGTGTTTTTAAGGCTTTGGTTACCGTTACAGCCTGTTAAAGTCCACTGCTGAACATAGGTCTCCCTCGTAGACAGCCGTGTAGGGGTGATATTGGCTATAGTTGACACGCTTGGCAAGCGGCTTGGCAACTGTAGTTTATTTTTCTTTTTAGTCGTTGTTAGGGAGACGCTGCTCCCCATTTAATGATTTGTTTCCCTCTGTCGCCTCTTACGACACCCACGGTTAGATATGGGGTAGTGGATGTACTTACACCGCCGCTAACTAACTTTCTTACACTAAGATTGTGAGATTTATCGTCTACGGTACCGCTAACCACCAGGCTAGGTTGCAGTTAAACACCTACTTATTATGCAAAAATTAAAATTTTCCTAGAGTAGAATGATTAAAAAAAAACAGCATTTTAAGTGATAAAATATCGGCTTCTCGCTCAACAATCTGTCTACCAAGTGAGTTTGAACAACTCTTAAGAAAATCATGCTTTGTAGCGCATCCATAGAATAATTAAAAATTAAAAATTTTGTTCAACCGACTTCAATATAAATTATTAAGAACAACTCAAAAACTATTGGTCAGACCTTGATCAAACTTATATGGAACCAGATGAGAAGCACCAGCTTTCAAATAAAAAAAGAATCATCGAAATCGGTTCACCCAGTGTTGGGTGTACTCCTCAGGTAAGCTCTCTCCAGACTAGGATCGCAGGATCGTCAATGAAGAAGACCAGGAGAGTACTAATAACTTGATTTAATAACTATATTTACAATGTCGTATATGTCAAATAAAGATATAAGAAACGTGTGTTGCCGCTACGGTTGTACGGTGCAGTCTGAGGCCCGAACGGGGTGGTGGCATGTGTGTGACGTATGTATGCGTGACGTCACTGTGGGCCCGGTACGATAAAAGGTTTGTTGGTTGCGCCAACACCCAGTAAAAAGTTATGAGATAACACACATAAAAAAACATACAGTCGAATTAACTACCGTCTCCTTTTTGAAGGCGGTAGAAAAATAAGATCTTGTTTGCCTTTGCTTCTCATTGGGTCATTGCAGTGTAAGAGATCGACCACTTTATGTCGTCACATGGATGAATAATATGATGATGGTGCTGAGGATTATCTAAATATAAAGGAATAGGGTGGATGAAGATGATGTAAATTCTGATAGATGGCGGTAAAATTGTCCTTTAGAACGTATTTCGGTCATGGCGGTCCGTCTCAATGGTGACTAGCTAGGTAGCTAAGCAGGTGCTTAGGACAGGATTATCAAGCACAGATGTAATCGATATTTCCTCACTCATAGTCCGACGGGACGGCAATCCGACACGATACGGAGAGAGATCAGGCGATGGACCAATGGTTTCACGTACTTTCCGAGGCGCGGGGGTAAATCCCGCCAACTTCCTGACTCCGGGCCCCAAGATTACTATTAATTTCTTTACAGAAAAACCCAATTGCCTACTGATTTTTGGCTCGACCCAGGTTCCGAACCTGAGGCTACTTGATCAGCAGTTGCGTTTACGACCACTAGACCATAAAGGCAGTCGCAACAAATCAGTCGCAGCAGATGGGGGTTAACCATCTCTTTTACGCTAAATGTAAAAAACCCACATCGGCGTCAGAAAGCAGCATCATAGGTGCGGAAAGTCTGGTACATACTGCAATTGTAAACCCGCTTGTCAAGAATTTTAGGCTACAAAGTTCAACGTCTATTTGGCTGGACTATGCCTAACCTCTAATTAAAGGTTTAAAGAATATGATTTGTATTACCCTATATATATATACATATATATATATATATATATATATATATATATATATATATATATATATATAGGGTAATATATATATATATATATATATATATATATATATATATATATATATATATATATACCCTGCCTGGAATTCCAACCCAGAACTAAACATCGATTAGACAAGTTTTAATTTACCAGCTCATTCTACTACTTCCTAACCAATCCTACCGTTGCAGCAAAAAAAAGTCGAGTGTAAGGAAATAGCAACAACTTCTTCAAATGTCAACCTCGCCCGGCCGTGGTGCGTCCTGCTAGCGAACGAGATTGTAACTACCGATAAATGCCGTGATATCTTTTCGAAAATATGGAGCCTAAAATCTCATAGGTTGTGCGCTTAGACCCTTATATAATTGACATCTGTTCTGATAGTCATGTTTGGGAAAATCTTTTAGGTTATTTATACTACTTAGGGGATGCCTAATATTCAGAAATCAGATAGAAGTTATTGTAAGGAAAAAATACAATACAAAGATTACAGGGGCATGAAAAAAAATTAGTTCATTTGTTTCACCTTTATATTAGTATAGTCAGGTAATAATTTATCTGACTTTTTTTTATTTCTATTTATATTTTATTCATTCTTTATTGAGGATAGATTTGGATGTCTATGGGTCACAGCTAACACTTACCATCAGGTGGACTATGTGCTCGTTTGTCACCCTATCCTATATAAAAAAAGGATAAGTATATGGATAGCTGGGCGCATGACAGCCGCGAAGATCAGGTCATCGGCTATAAAATTCTGTCGTTGGACACGGACCTCGTCCAAAGGAGGTGGAGGTGGAGGATTTTCAATTTTGATTCCTTGTCTTACAGTTTAAGGTAACCATTTATGTTGCGGTAGTAAATACTTATAAAGAGTGACATGTTATCGCTGTGTAGGAATCCATGATCCCATTTGGTTCCGTTGGTGTCGTAAGAAGCGAGTATGGAATATGCTAGAAAGATCTTATGGATACTATTAGATAGCGATTTAATAATTTATCAAATAGCGGAACAGCAATGTACAATGTTGCAATAAAATACCACAAACGATGGATAAAATCGCTTGTAGCCCAAAAAACATCGTTTAGTAATTATTTTTAATGTAGTGGTCAAGTCGATGTCAGGTACCTACTACGATTATCAATCAATCTGCCATAATTTTTAAGTGATAAGTATATCAAATATACAAAAATATAATAATAATTTAAAAAAACTGGTAATGTGCCTATTATGGAGTTTTTACT